CAAGATGAAGACTGCAATCGAGGAAGCTGGTTTCGTCGACGTCCAGGAGCAGAGGGTCAAGCTTCCCTTGGGTCCTTGGGCTTCTGATCCGAAATTCAAAGACATCGGGAGGTTCTTTGAGCGGTTCTACAAGACGGGTCTTCAGGGTTGGCTCCTCCAAATTTGCATCAGATACTTTGGGGTAAGGACAAGAGAGCTCAACTCTGATGTGTCTATCCGCGACTGACAAAAGGGTACAGTGGACACTGCAAGAGGTCAACGACGCATGCGTCAAAGCATTCCAAGAGATTAACTCACGCCAACAACACATGTATTTCACACTGTAAGTCATTCCGTTCAAACCTCCTCGACTGCTCTGGCTGTTTGCTGACAATTGTTTTTAGAATCATTGTAATCGGTCGAAAACCTTGAACCCTCACCTCTCTTTTGCGCCTCTTGATACGGTTGAAGGCGGGACAAGATCCCGACAAATCAATCTCGCGACCAGATGGTATGACCGTTCCAAATGGACCTGTCTCGCTTTCAAACGACCAGGACTAAGAGCATGGAGCATGAATACAATGGGACGAGTCACATCATGTCGATAGCAGAACCTACCGTTCAGCACCTGGGTACAAAGAGGCGGGTGTACCTGACGAGAGATGAGCACATTGGAATAGCTCACACCTTTTTTCTTCTTCGAACGCAGTTCCTGGTTAGGGTATGGGTATCAGTTGATGGATGGAAATAGAGTGTCGAGGATCATGGCTCACGATGTTTACGACAAACCAAAGGCAGATATCCTAGTGATGACGCCAAATGACGGTGTTCAGGCTCCTTGGTCGAAGGTTCCCGACTATGGCCCGGGCCTGATGGAATTAGATTTGATCTTTTCGTGACAGACGGCAGAGAACCTAGATAGCACAATGCACGCATAGGCTCTAGAGCCAAAAGGCTACATGCACGATTTCAATGTTTGCAAGACCCTGAAACTTTTCTTGTCTGGTTCATTTGGCCGTATCTCGAATGTGTGGCAAGGAGATCAGGCCAGTTCTGCGTAGTATTCGTCGTGCCATGCATATTGGAATTTATTCCTGGAATCTCAAGTATTTATATACATAGAGGGAGGGAGAGAGACAAAAAAAAAGAATTTTTTTTTTTCACATCTTTTTGGACAGAAAGACCTTTTTCTACATTTGTCCTCCTGCGCTCTCGTCGAATATCACTCTTACATTCTTACATCAGCTCTGGAGGCGCTCAGCGGATAGTGGCGCTGGGAAAACAGCCAGTCGTCGCAGTGTCACATTGTCACAAGTCATAATGTCGAGTTCCCCATCATTATAGAACCAGACTTTTACTCGTACGGTAGTTTGCAGAGATACAGTGTTTAAAGCCCTTTTACCAGATGAGGGCTGAGGGGTGTTCCTAAGGGAGGAGTCGTGGCGGCGGGTGAACACCGAGGGCGATGCCCGCTGAGAGAGAGAGGAGAATATGCATACTCTACTCGCCGGACTTGTATACTTACGAGTAGAGTAGCTCATCCCATAATTAGTCACCCCTTTCTCCCAGAATTGACATGCCCGTTTCTATGAATGTCTCGCCAGTAATGTTATGGTATTGGTCAGGGTAAGGCAAGGTGTCTATCTGGCTTGTTTGGCCCGTCTGGCCTGGACTGTATCTGGATTTCGCTCTGGTTCAGGGCAAGGGTCAGCTCGCTCGCTGGCTGAAGGAGGGGATCTTTTAGATACACCATCCACTCACTGTCACACACACACGCACACTCACACACACCATATTCGGGCTGGCGGCTCAAGAAATAGATGGTGGATGGATGGATCATGGTGGATTCAATCGTCCAGGGGAAGAGCAGAAGAGAGAGAGAGAGCAAAATCTGGCACCACCACCACGATCGCGACGCGTAAGAGAACATTAAAGGCTATATAATATAGTGTAGCCGACCGCTTAGATGATGGAGGTAATATAATCAGTGGACCTGGAACTTTCTTCGGGTGCGGTGGCATTGCCTAGCAAGCCCCTTCATTCATCAGAAGTATCGTCGATATGGCCAACGACACCGACACCGACCAAGGTGACGAGTATTTTTTCTCTCGAACTTTCCTGTCTTCTGCGCGGTATGTTGCTCGCCATCGATGAACTAGTCGCTGTCTCTAACGAATATCAAGACTCACGTCGCAGCACTTTGTGTGGACTGCCAAAGCGGGATTCTTGCTGCATCCCGCAGTCGAAAAGAGGCTGTCGGAAATAAAGACACCGGAAATTGTGGACGTTGCAGCGGGTAATGCGTATGTCCTCCTCAAGTAGACGCCCGAAAAAGAAAAAAAAAACATGGGGTGATTGACAAGAGGATATGGAAAAAAACAGGATTGTGGCACTCACTCTAGCCCACGACCACCCCAAGAGCAAGGTCGTCGCTCTCGATATATCGGCTGGCCAATATCCTCACCCCTGGAGCCGTCCGGCAAACACTTATTTCGGGGTGTGGAACTTCTTCGACCCTGTTCCCGAACAGTACTGTGAAAGATTCGACGTCGTGTACATCCGGGCGGTTTCGACGATATTGCACGGTCGAGAAAAGGCAAAGGTGGTGGAAAAGCTGATCAGGATGCTGAGTGAGTCGCAAGACCTTGTTCACCTTCTCCCCTTTCCCCCTTTCGAACAAAAAACTAACCACGAACAAACCGTCGTCATTCAGAGCCCGGAGGATACCTTCAATGGCACGAATGCTGCTCGACCGCGATGGGGGTTTTGGATGAGCAATCCCCCCTAACTCCCTTGCCGGGTATGCCCGACTATTTCCAGACGATTGAAAAATACGTCGGTGGATTCAACTCGGCGGAGCATTACGGCGATCTCGACAAGGTCTTTGCGGACAATGGTCTGGTCGACGTGGACAGGAGGGTCTCCCCGGTCCTCCCTCATCTGCTCAAGCATGAAACAGACCTGGTAGTCATGTCAATGAATGAGGTCTTTGCGACTCTGCGCCGGCGCCCTGGACAGTCGCCCGAGGCTACGCGGGAGCTGGAAGAGGCTCTGGTGAAGATGTCGGCCGCGGTAGCCAGCGGGAAGTGCTTTGTCTATCTGATGGCAGTCGTCGTGGGGCGGAAACCTAGCGGGCAATGATATGCACTTGCGATGATGTCTCTTGCGTATTGCGGATACCAAGAGGTTGATCAACGTCCATGTCGAGTCAGTAATAGTCAGCTCCGGTGGACCGATCGACTTGTCCTAGGAAGCTAGACTCAAGAACTGGACGGGGCGTCTTCAATAGACATGTAGACCATTCAACAAAAGCTGCAAAGTCGCGCAGCAGCTTTGATTCGTCCTGATCCAGAGTTGAGCTCGGATGGCCACTTGTGGATGGTCAGGGACTACTCCCAAAATTGGACAAGTCAGTAACCCTGCTTCGTGGAGAGAATACTAATCAAAGAAGCAAAACCATTTCCAGAGTGTATAAAAACCACAGTGGGATGTCGTCTGTAAATCATCGACCCAGAACTTCGCCCCCTTCTCCGACATCATTTTATCCCTCTCCACAAAGTGACAGTTCTTTTCATACCGTGAAGCCCGAGAACTAGCCAGAGGTCGGCGACTTGATGAAACCTGACAGCTTCGGGTGAAAGGGGGAGGATTGATATTTGAGATACACAATTGCGCGCAAGCTTCCCGTGGAGGGTGGCAGGGTCTCTAGGATTTGAAATGACAGCTAAAAGAGACACAGTGACTGTGAATGGTGGTGTTTGTGGCAATACTTGGGTTGTCAGACAAAAAAGCAATTTTCGTCTTATTTTTCAACTCACCGCCGGCTCTCCGTCAAGAAGCGCAAAGGACGAAAAAGGCTGCCCGAGCTGAAAGAAGAAGCTCGGAGAACGAGAAGCGAGCAGCTAAAGGTCACGGAACGGATAGCTACCACCAGCTACTCTGTTAATCTCTTCTTACACACCGTCAGCACCTTTCCTGACTGGGCCCGTTGCCGCGCTACCCATTCCGCATTCCAAATCATTTCCTTCTTCGAAGCACCCGAAGTTCCTGCGCCGTATTCCCCCTCTTTGCCCCTCAACCACTAGAACGGCGCGGACAGCCTCTCCTAAAGGCCTAGGCTGATCCTAGCAAAAAGAATCTGTCACGAATGACGTCCACCCACAGCGAACAGCCCGGGTTTACCCCCACCATTCTTCTGAAAACAACCCGGCTTCAACCCACGGCACCCTCCGTTTTGCTCGCTCGGAAGAAGCTTATTCAGATTGGGCTCTGGAAAGAGACAGGTGGGAGGACAATCCGACAGAAGAATACAGTTTATGCATGGTAAGCAAGTGCCCGGGAAGCGTGGGAACTGCTGACTACGGCGAGGGACGAGGGAATGGTTCTTGTGACGATTGTGTTCCATCTGTAATAGGCAAGTTGAAGATGGGCTGGCAATGAGCCCTGAGGTCCGATAGCTTCGACTTGATTCTCTGTTGTGCTGGGGACTGGCCTGCGAATCTTCCCAAGCTGAAACAGCTGGGCTCCACGAAAGGAGCTCTGCTCAAAGACAACAGGCTATCCTTGTCTGTCCAGCGACCGCGGGGAAGGAAGATGATCAGCAGTTCTGCGCGCGTCTGCAGCTGCTATCTGTCACTCTGCCTTGAGCCCCTCCCATTTCTGACGTGGACCGCCATATGACGAAACGACGCGGTCAGGGGCACCAAGGGGAAAGGATCAATAGGCGGGACAAGCATGATAGCCAAATGCAGCTGCTTGTGGGCCACTGAACCCCTCCAATGGTAATGGTCGGGCTGCCCTCGCCCAGAGCATTCCAAATACCTATTCCACAAGCACCCTATCTTGACCTCATCTCTGAGCTTGGAAGCTGTCGAGAGGTATATAAGGGTTCCTTCGACGTCGGAAACTCAAAGATTCTCCTCCTCCATCATCTGAAACAGCAACCAACACCTCTTTCAACGCTCGCCAGAACTCGAATTCAATCTTCCAGCTCACATCTCGTCTCCAACCATCATTCCACCATGCCTGAATACAAGGGAGTCTGCCACTGCGGCGCCATCGAATGGACCGCTGAAATCCCAGAGGAGAAGCACATTCTCTGCCACTGCGGTGCTTGCAAGTTGATGGGCGGCGGCGAATTCACCTTGAACCAAATCATTCCCAAATCCAACTTCCACCTGACCAAGGGTGATTTGAAGGTCTATTCCTACAAGGGTGACTCGGGTACGTTTTTCCTTGTACAACCTTTTGGTGGCCTGTTCTCCCCAGTGGGGGTGTTGGAAGATCGAAGTCCTTCTAGACCAATTCGCTGACCTTTGCTCGTGGCACATAAACAGGTAACTCAGTCGATTGTTACATGTGTCCCAACTGCGGGTGCTCGCCGTACCACCACCAGCGTGTGATGGGTAAGTTCGCGGAACCACCTCCCCCAAACTGTCTGGCTATTTAGGTCCAATTTCTCTGTGAAACTGGATCTACATAGCTACCATCTCAACCCTACCAGCTATGCCTTCTCATTCTATGTCCTATTGCTGACACGGCATGCACGACAGGTGATGATAAGATCGTCATCCGAACGGGTCTATTGAAGGGCTCCGACAAATGGGGCAAACCCGCCGCCGAGATCTACGACAAGGATCGGGCCTCATGGCTCCCTCAAACCGCCGATGCCAGCTTCCCTGTGGTCCCTCCCTCGTAGGAGGTTGTCAGTGATATCCTGTCGATCTCTTGACCCGGACATTGCCACGAATCTTCCCCGTGTAGCGACAGGAGTCGCCTTTGTTCTCGGAGAGCCGGTAGATGAGAGGTTTCATGTGCTATTGGAGATGCGGAATTGCTTTGATGAAGTTGGGAGACGACTGGAAATTTCTAGTCTATATGGGAACGATGCCGTCATGGCTGGAGATGTCTCGATTGGGGTGGGCAGATGAAAAAGGAAAGGAAGGGAAAGTAAAATGGGAAATGGGGGGGAAGATGATATCGACGGTGACTTAATCCGGAGCAATTGAGCAATTGAGCGAGCAAGTTAATCAACGCTCCATCACAACATCACCTATTCTATCACCTTCTTGGTATCTACCACATATCTATCTATATTACCAAACATATCATCAGACGGATATCAGATATCAGATATCATATGATATATCGAATGAGAAGCATGCAGTACCCTGTGATTCGACTCGACTCTACTCGACTCGACTCTGCACATCCGAACCGAATCGTGCAAGGCAGAGTTGGACCTTGACTTGGATCTAGACACAGACTTGGACTTGTAGTATGCACGTATTTACGGTGGCTAGCTCGCTACGCATGTATATATACACGTATACACGTTCACGGGCCACATACATTTACACATGTGTATACGTATATACGTGCATATATGTACATTTCCTAGGTCGGTAGGTCGGTAGGTAGGTCGCTCTACCTTCTCACCTACCCTCACCTCTCCTCATCTCATTTCACGTTACCTCGACTCTTCTCTCTAATCTTTCCTTCTCTTTGCTCGCTTCTCTTCTCGTTTGATTCGACGTCCCTCTCTTTTGCTCAAGTTTTCATATTCAGCCCTTTTCCTTACCTTACGTATAAATAAAACAAAAGCCGTGATAAACTCATCATTTACAATGTACGCGGTTTCAATCGTATATCAAACCCTCAAATCAATCGACATCCGGCACGGGCAGACCCTGCACGATCTTGACCCGCCGGCCCAGTTTCTCCAGCGCGCGCCTCGAGTTCTCGGCCCGCAAGTCAGCGCTCTCCTTGTCCGTGACCAGCACAAAGTCGTGTCTCAAGAGCGCCGTGCCTTCCTTGACACCGTATTTCTGGGCCGTCTCGGCGTCGCATTTGCCGAGTTCGACGATGAGCGAGTTCTTTACGCCAAAGACCGCGTCCGAGGTTTCGTACGGGTCGTCTTTTAGGTACAGGGCTCTAGAGAAAAGAAAGGTCGTGAAGTTAGCAACATGAATCTTCTCACCTACCGAGACCTGTGGTGGGGATAGAGATTGGTGTTGATGAACTCACGTTATCAGATGATCAAATCCTTCCTTCTCAAACATGAAGTGCATATGCGATGGCCGCATGGGGTGTCGACCCAACTTCTTCAACAGCTGGCCCACAGGTCCGTCATGCGGGATCGGATACGGCACCGGCACGATGGCATTGAACCAGAATTGCCCCTGGGCATCGCTGATCATGATACATCGCCCGTCCGGCCCGTCTCGGTCGGCGTGCTGCACGTCGTAGTGTCCTGACGAGTCTGTCTCCCAGATGTCAATCTTGACTCCCTCGATCGGGTTCCCTGACACATCTTTGACCGTGCATATCGCGAGCAAGGGTTCGCCGTTGGTGTCGTGCGACATGAGACTCCCGTGCTCCAGGGTTTCGGCTTCGTGTGTGTGGAAAGGTCCGAGGACGGTGCCCTCTGTGGAACCTTTGGGTTTGGGGTGGTCGATACTGTCGACAAGCAAGGAGAGGCCCAGGATATCGGAGAGGAGGATGAATTCCTACAATGCCCACCATCAGGCAATGTCAGTGATCACGATTCTCGGCCAGAGTTTGAGACGTTACAAGCTGAAAAAGGAGAACTATGGTTCTGGGTATAGAAACGTACCTGCCTCACATCGGTGCAGATTTGACCTGTCTTGGTGAGGAACTGGATCCCCGCCATCCACTCCTGCGTACTCAACCGAGTCTCACGGGCAAAGTCATGTAGGTGCACCACCAGCCGTTCGAGAATGTATCTGAACCGCGGGTCCGGGTTAGCGGAGTTGATCAGGTTGACATTCTCGGTGATGTTGTCGATTGTCAAGTCCTTCAATGGCGGGATCGTGACTTGGGAGGGGTCCATTGTATCGATCGTCTCGAAGGGAGGTAGTCTTTCGTCGGGAGTAGACTGTCTATGGAGCGCACGGAGGATGGCGACACTGTTGAGCAAAAATTCACAACAACAAGACAAAGGCTGGAAGATTGAACAAGACCACAAACATAGTAGAGCCCAGGCCAGTGTTATAAAATAAGCGATAATCCTCTCTCTTCTGTCCTTTCCACCCCCGGTATCGTGGGGTAATTGCTGGAGGGGGGAGGATCCGAAGACTTGGTAACTAACTGCTCACGACTTCAGGAACCACAAAGGGCGAATGTGAGCAATGACGGGCCTCTGCAGGAAACCTCTCGTGTACGGGTATAACAAAGCCATCTTTGCTTATGCGGCAATTGGTCAGTTGGTCAGTTGGCCGAGTGGTGAGTGGTCAGAGAACAGCGAGAAAAGGTGATGGTGGAGCAGCTTGTATCATCCGACAGCGAAATGCATCGGCAAAGGGACAAACTTCCCCACCATCCACCATTGAGGGGCAGTTGCTTCTGTACGAAAAAAAGCGGCTTTTGACGGCATCTGTCTGGCCCCGTCGCCGTGTCTCTGTCACCACTGTCTACATATCCACCATCTCCGTACTAAAGGATGACAAAATCCCCTCGTACATTCGCGGTCAGTTCAGTCAGTGCCATCGTACACAAGCCCCCAGCTGTGGAATCTATTCCGTCAGAATGCCTCATGCCTCCTCCCTTCCAAACATCAAATGCTCTATTGCAATAATACAAACCAACGCTCGATGCTGAATGAAACTGTTCAAACCACAGTATGATGACCTATGCTCCTGGCAGATCCATGCCATCTCCTCATACCAATAATACTGCCAATTTGCTTGAGCTTTTTTTACCCTCGACAAGCACCATTCACCTCCTTGAACCCAGATCAACGCCGTTCATGCTGATTCAACAACCTCTTTTGGAGCACTCCTAGCGATGTCCGCCTTGAGACGCGCTTCGGTAGACTTGTGCTGCTAGTGCCTGCAATCGATCGCCTTCGTCGTCATCATCATGGTCGTCTATTCGTCCCTTCTCTCGTGGCGAGAACGTCGAAAGGTAAGAACTTCGTGCGGTGGGCGAGCGTTCGGCTGCAGCATCTTGCAATTGTTGGATCAGCGGCGGTGGCCGGACGTCAAATCGCCCCGTCGAACCGCTCGAAGGGGCCGTCTCAAGCTGTGCAGTCGACTCTGCTGGTAGCTCCCGTGACCCACTGTCCTTTGAATTCAAAGACCTTTCACCTGCCAGATCTAGCGAGGCTCGGGCAATGGTCGCAGACCTCTGCATGTCATCTGTTTGGCGACCGCCCTCGATGCCGGATCCCGCCGAGAGAGGTGGCGGACTCTCCTTGCCCAACTCTTCTCCTGCTGTTTCCCTGTCGGGCGAAGCGGACCCCGGAGCTGTCAGCTGCAATTCTTCCTCTTTGACCTCCTTCCACGAGCATTTGGCATGCTTTTTAGTACATCCCATGCACGCTGTGAGGTTCTTCAGACAGTCCATGTGCAGTCTCCGGCATCGATCGCACGGAGGAATCACCCGGTCACCCTTCCACATGTTGTCCATTCGTCGCACCATCTCTGCCTTGAATGGTCCACCGTCATCCCTGTCTAGCGTGATTGGCTTCATATGAGGCATCAAGGAAGCCGGCGTATTCGGGATGGCCACCGACGATATGCTTGCCGCTGCTAGTTCGATTGAACGGGAACGTGGTTTCTCCGCAGAGGACGCATGCATCGCCTGTGTTCGACTAGTGCCAGCTCCTAGAGAAGAACGACGAACGGTATCTTCGGTCAAGCCAGCTTCTCGTTCGCTTGGCGTCAGGAAATTCTTTATCATCTCGGTACGCTGGACTGGGGAAGCATCCTTAATCGACTTGCCATTGATGATGGTGACATTTCCCGCGTTTGACGAGCCATACGTCTCCTCGCCAGCACTTCGTAGAAGGTCGTTGGAGGAAGATCCACGCCGCAGATCTGATTCCGCAGCTGTAGACTGTCTTAGGTTGACCGCGGTAAATCCGACCGGAGGCGATTGAGAGACCTCGATACTCCTTACCGCGCGGGCGCTGCCGACTCCGTTTGTGTCCATGGGCGAACCGGGGGCAGCTTCGGTTCTTGTGGCTTGTCTTTTGGCCTCGGCTTCCTGGTCGCGTCTGCTCAATATGGCTGTGCGCCGACCTTTCATCTTGTGGATCAGTTGTCGCGCTCGGCCAGACACTGCTCAAGGTTAGCTTGGATAGGTAGGGAACTATGAGGTATTGGCAACATACCTTGATCTGCAAGCTGAATGACCTGACCAAGATTGCGGTCCAAGAGATCCATGACACCTAATTCCTTCTCTTCATCTTCCAAAATGGGCTGAGGGGGGATCAATTTTTGAGGCATGCCACTGGCGATGAGGACGAAATCCTCCTCCGAGATCTCAACCCGACACTGCTTGGTGTAGAACTGGCAGACCCGCACTCCGTTGCGAGTTCTTTCCAGGTTGAATTGCTTGGGATTGTTCTGGGCAAACTCGACCACGTCCAACCAGGTCACATGGGCATCCTTTGCGTGAGATTTGAGAATCTTGGGCGGCCCGTCAAACATTTTCTCGAATCGCTTAACCAGGATGGGGCCGACAGGACATGCTCCCAAGTTACCTGCCATGCTCTCGTGGCGTTGTATGACCCCATCGTATTCCCCCAGCAGGCGAGCTATCTCGGGAAGCTTGTCATTGACTGTGACGAGGGGGATAGTATCCTTGTGTTGCCGCACAAGGTAGTTGATTTGCAAGTGGTTCGCAGCAGTCCGCGGGACCTTTGCTGCTGGGAGGGGTTGGGGCTCCGTTGGGGAGCGAGGTCGCTTGAGAGACGAAGATTGCTCGGAATTCATTGTCACGGACGATGGACGTTCCATTGCTTTGGCATAGAGGATGGAGGGAGGGAGCCCGAGTCACCTTTGGTGTGCTCGGGCTGCGCGTGCTTAGCTAAGAAGCTCTCGGGAAGTGAAGTCGAGAAAAGGCGCGGGCGGAGAATCGTGGAGGGGTTGCGGGATCAGCCTCGAATAGTTTGGCCCAAGCTGGGCAAAAGCTATTCTTGAAGCTGCAGCGCCGTGAGCGGAGGAGAAACCCAGGTCGTAGTCAAAGATGGTCGCGAGAAGTAAGTGCGAGAGGAGAAGGAGAGGTAGGTGGGAGGAGAAAAGGGTAGCAGAAGTGAATGGAAGGGAAAGCTGCGGCACGTGGCTTGGGCCTGGTCTGAGAGGCTGTAGTGTGAAATGCGAACCCAGGGATACGTCCGGGAGGACACAGGAAAAGGCTACGGCCAATGGGGCGAAAACCAGGTGCCAAACAACAACAAAGAGGTGAAGACGGAGCAAGGGGAAGCGAAAAAGAAAGAGAATGTGTGGGTGTCAGAAGAGAGGGAAGGAGATGGAGAGGAGAGGAATAGTACCAGCTCGCCAGGTATCCAAGGTGCAAGGTGGAAACGGCGAGGAGGGCGGCCGAGGGCGGCGAAGGAGCGGGTTCGATGGATGGTCGTTGGATGGTTGGATGGGGGAAGGGGGGAGAGGTACGGAGCACGGGTTGCGGCGACCAACCAAGTTTTCCAAGAGGCCCTTCCGGCCCATCAGCTGCCAACAACAGCCTAGGCAATAGATCATTAATAAGGGAGTCGTTGGGCGTACGCGGGGCTTATCACTTCCCCTCTCCGAGCGGCACCCATGGCTGAGAGCTTACGGCAACAGTGGGCAACTAAGGCACCGCACTTGGCTCACTGCCACCAACGACCACCTCATTAATTATTATTTATTGCGCGGTGGCTGATGGGAGGGGAAAAGGGACGCGTGGACGTTGAAGAGAAATACAGCAGAGACCAGCAGGGCGCTACTGGGACTGGGACTAGAACCAGACCTCTGTACCGAGCAGGAATTGTAGACATCCTCGGATCGAGATGGCCATCTGCGCTTATACGATGGTGCTGCCGTACCTGCACTTTTCTCGGAAGCTAGAGGAGGAGGGGAGGAGAAAGCCACGGTCATGTTCGGGGGTGAAGTGTTCCTTCCAACAACTTCCAGGTAGTTGGTGTAGTAGGCGTAGGTAGGCATGATGGGCTGGCATTAGTGGGTGCGCGGGGTTCGTCCCCCAGGCCCTAGGCTGGGCGGGAATGGGAGTCTCGGGTGAGCCAAAGTGCCAGAGGGCAAAGAGCGCAGAGATCAAAGCATAGTTGTCCGCCTTTTGACTGGTGGGGGAAATCCAACCACACCTGCACCTTTCTTCCTCTGCAGCCATTCACTTCTATCTCATTCCTCGGTTCGTGTTGATTCCTCCTCCTGTCCTCCCGAACATCTTGTCTGTCTCTCCCTTATGCCCTGCGCCATCATCGCTACCCCCGTTATCATGAGCTCACAAGCACGGAAAGGAGCAATGTGACAAGTGGTCCAAGGGAGGGTGAGGTGGAGGCAAGATCCGTGCGCAAGCCCGAGGGCGGCGCTCCGCCCAATTGGCAATAACCATTCCGCATGCCCTGACGGTGGCTTCGGCGGAAATCGTGGCGCACCATTCACATCTCGCCCTTTGTTCCATCATCTTCTTCCCCCGACATAGCCCCCCCGTCTCTCCCCTTTGGCACTTGATGACCCTTGACTTGCAAGCTCTACCTCTACCAGGCCCTCGTACACGTCACTCCACCCATTGATTTTTCCAAAGCTGGCCTTCGGCTTTTACGACAATTCAAATCACCGATTGCCCCCTTCCCAGACAACCAGACCAGGGCTTCAGGCACACAAACCACCAGCTTGTCCCAACTTGGTTCTGAATCACGCCCCAAGATTCCCCTCCCTCACCCACACACAAGCCAATTTTACGCACTAGACTCTTTACGGCTAAGGGAGTCAATTTCCGCCCTTCATTGTCAACCTCTTGTGGAAGACACAAATTTCCCTGTGTTACCAACAAAACCACCCCTTCAACTCTCAGGTAAGGAAAATGTCCGAGCGAGGCCATTTTCGTGGAGGTGGCCGGGGAGGAGGCGGAAGAGGGGGCGGAGGTGGTAGGGGCGGTCGTGGTGGTGCCGGCGCATCTTCGCAGCAGTCCAATCAACCACACGAAAAGCCCAAGAAGGAAAACATCCTGGACCTGAGCAAATACGTCGAGAAGCAGATCAATGTCAAGTTCAATGGTGGACGAGAAAGTATGTCCTCTTTTTGTGTCCCGAAATTCTCTGGCTGGACCTCAAGGGTAAAGCAAAACGCCAGCAAAAATTTCCTGTACTAACTCAACTCGTCTTTGTCAGTTGTCGGCACACTCAAAGGCTACGACCAATTAATGAATCTGGTATTGGATGATGTCAAAGAAACCATGAGAGGTGAGTTCTTTCCACTTCCCAGCGTACTTACCGCACGTCCGATGGCAAAAGGCTTTGCAGTTAACAGTTCCCGCAATGGCAGATGACGAGGGCAACGAGACAACAAGACCACTCGGCCTAGTTGTCGCCCGCGGCACGCTGCTCGTCCTGATCTCTCCGGTCGACGGGAGTGAAGAGATTGAGAACCCTTTCCAACAACCGCCAGAAGAGTGATTGATGGCAAGAGCCACAACACTCAGCCTTTTGCCAACCTCAAAACTCAAAGTCCAGAGCGAGAGAGAGAGAGAGAGACAGGCGAACACCATCCTGCGACGTTTCCTCAGCACAGAGACCTAGCGCCCAGCCTGACGTTACCCGGATCATCAATTGCATTCATCGATCGAGTGCTCGACCGAGGCCACGTTACGCGCGAAAGGTCTCCAATGCCAGACCCCAGTGTATCATTGCTTCTGCTCCGAAATCATGCATCCAACATCTGGGTGTCGCAGGTCGTTCCCCGACCTGCTTCACGACATGATCTGGTCGAGGGCGGTGGAAGATCTCCATCCACGGGGCTCAACAGCAGAGTTACAAACAGAGATTTACAATTTTTTGTTTCTTGTTTTCTAAACTTCACTACCAATCTTCCTACACTCCGGCTGTTCTCTCCCAAGATCATAGTCATGTCGCCCCATTTCAAAATTCCATCATATCGTCTGCAATGAGTATCGGTCCTTCGGCGCTCTTCCTAAAACAGATCTTCTTTCTGTTCCCCTTGGCAGATCGGTGTTGTCCAAGCAAAGGTCCCTCTGTTTCTCTATCACATGTTGCATTCCAGGTGCTGAAGATTATTTTCTTGGACGGGTTAGATTCCATCAATCCCTCTTTCCAGGTCGTCCTGCTCAGTTTACCTACCTCAAAGGTCCTCCCCTCTTCCCAACTAATTCCTGAAATGCGCTCTCCACCCCCTTTTTTAGCTCGCGGTAGCTCACCACAAACACGCTCTGTTCGTCCCGGCTCACGAGCATGATCTTCTCCTCCGTACCCGCGTCTAATTTATTGAGACACATCAGGACATGGCCGAGATCCACGACTGGTCGGTTTTGTGCATCAACCTGGTGAAAGACGTAGTCACGGAACAACTTGAGGAAATAGCGTTCCCCATTCTCGCTCCACGACTGGTCATGATTGTATTCAGGGCGTTCAGTGATGAAGTTGATTTTGGCCATAAGGCGCACCAGGCGCGCATTCTCCACCTCGCGCGACAATTCAGAATATAGAGTATCGTCGCTGTGAAGGGCCGCATTGAAAGCGGTGATCATTTGGTTTGCGATAAGAGTGACGAATCCGTCTATGGTTTTCTCCGAGTTCTGCATTGCAGAGTATAACCACACCACGGCGTTTTGAAGCTCGGGCTTGTAATAACGTTTGAAAGTGTCCATGCTGCGAGCAAAATTCTGACCCACATCCAGGGATCCTGACCCAACGGCAAGGACAACCAGGGCAAAATTGACGAGATCCTGTCGTTGGACCTGAGCGAGAGGTGTGTGGGTATTGGCGTCATACTGCACCACATCCAGAATGCCGCAGCCGTTCAGACGGATGCGATTCTTTCCTGTTACAAGGATTTTGCTGGGGTCGAGGATTCGAGCGGCTAAGCCAGAGTTGTGGATAGTTTTCAGAGCAGAGGCTATTTGCACGACGTAAGACCACAAGGCAGGCTCCGTGGCTTGGTCTTTGTTAGAACGAGCGGGACGAGGATTGTATGAATGTCCAAGGTGATGGTGTTCCAAAAGGGTTTTGGACAGAGGATGATATTCTGTGGCGATAAAGAGGGATGAGTCGCCGAAGCCGCGGTTTGTAAAGACGTCGACAATTCGGACAATGTTAGCGCTGATTATATTTTTCCAAGCTTGTCCAGCGCGGATTGCGTGCTCGTTTGTCAAGCGGAAGCCTGCATGTGAAAGCGTGAGCTTCTGAAGACTGCAACGAGGTCGATGGAGTGGTATAGTTCAAGATCATACCTTCAATTCTGCGGAGGGCGAAAAAGTGCCCATTGGCGCTTGATTGCGCTTTATACACCCAAGATGTATAACCTCCAAATATGTTTGAACTTTTGTGGGCTGTATCAAGAGGGACAAGAGAGTGATAACTCTCGATGTGACTTGGTAGCTGCGAATCTGGAGCGCAAAATCAGCATCGTACCACCCTATCTTATGAAACAGCGGCGCATACTGGGTAGTATCTGGAGGGCTGCCGCTGACTTCTTCTGAATTTCCTCTCGGAGATCGTTGGGGATGAAAAGGTCATGCACTGTGCGCTGGTAGGGAGTGAGGACCGCGTTGTAGTGGCCAATAGGCGCATATTGGTGGTATTGTACCTAGCAGGTGGTTAGCATCATCATCACAGCCTCTGTTTGAGATGCGTACCGGCTGCTGAAAACCGGGTGTGTTTTGATAAAAAGCGGTTCCATTTATACTGTGATCGAGATATGGGTTGGGGGTATGGCTCGTTTGAAACGTCTCAAAAGCATGAGAGACAGGAATCTCGCTTTCACTGGTCTAGACAGTACCTATAAGCATCGGACGGAAGCACCTCTGCTCTGAGAGAACTCACTAGAGACGGTTCTTGAGTTCGTCGGGGTACAAATTCTTGGACGTCAGGCAGCGCCCAATCTGGGGTTTTGGCATCTTGTCGAAGAGGAGTAGCGTTCGACGATCCTGGCATAAGTTGTAAGCCACCGGCGTCGTCTGAGTCCGAGACACTGGACATCTGCTCACGGGAGATGATGGCCTTGGGCATGAACGGGGCAGCACTTGCTGCCTTCGGAGATATGCCAGTCGTTGGCTTCTTGATAGCAGTGGCTGCAGCCGCGGTGCCATTGGGAGACAAGAAAGAGGGTGTGAAACTCGGCGAGTCGACGTTGAGCGTCTTTTTCGACTGACTATTTCCTCCGTTTCAGCAAAACAGTGCCTCATTTTAAGCAGGGCAAGACCGTTGAGTCGTACCTATCATTTTGTCCTCCATCAGAGGCAGGCTTTTCTACGGTGTGGTTGAAGGCACATCCTGCAGCAGCAAGTTAGTCTTGTGTGCAACACCTGCTATTCCCAGTGTACCTTTGTCCTCGTAGCGGCACTTCCCGTATATCGTAACATTGCGACATAGAGTGTCTTTCGCATTTTCTGTCCAAATACAGCTCAGCGCTCTATATCTTCCTCTCAACGAGCCTCAAAGTAGCATCCAACATACCCCGGCCTTTGAGTCTAGGGGACGAAGCTGCCTGTTTTGTATCTTCCGCATTACTTTTGATCACTGTGGCCATAATCGTTTATTGACTGCGCCTGAGCATGCTGCTCCATCAGTCTTTGGGAGGGCAGGCTTGGAGTTTTCGGTAACGATCAAGGCATTTCCTGGGTTCGCGAGAGCCAAGCTTGGAGAGAGACACAGTTCGAGTCTGTGCGCAGGCTAGATGTCCGGGGCTGTTCCTGTGACTGTTGAGGTGTGAGCGAGGGTAATGTACATGACGACTGAGATATCCAAAATTAAGAAATAGTAGCGATGAAACGAAGATAATGGCGTAGTCGCCAGCCAGAAAATGCAGTGAAACAGGAAAAATATGACCAGGATTCTGAGCGCAGCCGCGCTCTGTGTGGAATGCGGTTTGTCGAGTCAAGTCTCGCGGACAGTAAGTGATACGAGGTGAGAGATGGAGGTGGTCGGCGGGATTGTCGAGGCAACACAAGGGTCCAAGGTCCAACCAGCGGATTACATACATCCATCCGCCTTTCCACTCCGCGGCTTCGCGTGGACACGTTCCCTATACCACACAAACGCAGCCATCAGCACACGAGCTTCTAGTCATCGGCCGGTACGATCTAGCCTTCCCTACACACAACACCTCTATACAACTGGCGTGGTTTGAATATAGTGGGCCCCCGCAACTCACCCTAGGCAGGGCTCCATACGTGAAGCTAAGGCTTGAAGAGAAGGGAAAGAAGCATAGTTGACCATGTCTGTTCGATCGAAGCGATAACCCCCTCGATTATATCCCTGCCTCTCGGTCTCGAATCAAAAAATGTCGACCCCCGACATCTCCCAACTAACTGCGTCCCAACTAGAAGCTCTACAAACCTACACCTCCGTTACCGATCAAGACCCCATCGCCGCGATCCCGCTCCTACGACGATGCGAATGGAACGTACAAATTGCTGTGGCCCGCTTCTTTGATGGTGAACCTGCAAGCGACCCTCTTGCCGAAGCACAAGCGCAACTGCCTCCTGCCTCTGCCCGCCAAACTACAAATTTGCAGTATGAGTCGCTTCTAGCAGCATCACACACCTCTCCCAGACCTCCCCTGGCAAGCCCCGGGGACATAGTTACACGAGTTGACACGAGCGGCACAGTCAACGAACCCGTATACCCTCCTTCGACATTGTTCTCCATCATATTTACTCCTGTGAATATCCTGTACAGAGTATTTACAACCGTGTTGTCGCCATTTGGATTCCTCGTTCCCACGTTTCTCTCCCGCCTCTTTCATCGCCTTCTCTACCAATCCCAGTCGCAATCACGCACCCAGAGGCGGGCTCTACCACCAGCTGAAAATGCAAGGAGATTCATACGAGAATTCAGTGAAGAATATGGCACCGAGAATCAAGATGGAGAATCATCTGCGCCGCTCCTCCCATTCACCGAATCCGGGTTCAACTTAGCCCTCGACACCGCCAAAAAGGACCTCAAATTCATGCTTGTGGTCCTTCTCTCGCGCAGCCATGATGACAATAATACCTGGGTCCGAGAGACCCTACTGTCTCAACAGTTTAAATCATTCCTCGACTCTCATCGGTCTGACTTGATACTTTGGGGTGGAGATGTACGAGATTCGGAAGCCTACCAAGTATCTGCGAGTCTTCAGTGTACCAAGTTCCCGTTTGCGGCACTCATATGTCAGGGTTCGGAGCCAGGGTCGGGTGCACCATCCGGAGCGATGACAGTTGTCATGCGTGCTGTGGGACCAATATCAGGACCGGAATTGGTTGCGAAGCTGGCCACGGCGATGACGACCCACCAGACGCAACTTACTGCGGCTAGAGCTCAGCAGGCAGAACGCCAGGCCACTCAGAATCTACGTAGGGAGCAGGACTCGGCTTACGAGAGATCATTGGCGCAAGATCGTGAGAGGGCTCGTCGGAGACGGGAAGAGGAGGAAGCGGCAAGAAGAGCAGAATTGGAAGCCCAAGAACAGGCAAGACTGGCAGAGAAGAAGAAGAGAGACAGAGAGCAGTGGAAGAGATGGCGTGCTCGTTCACTTCCGGAAGAACCGGATACAGAGATCAAAGATGCCATTCGAGTGAGTATTCGCTTGCCTTCTGGCGAACGAGTCATCCGAAGATTTCAAACAGATGCCGAGATAGAAGAACTGTATGCCTTTGTGGAATGTTACGAGGTCATCAAATCCAAACATTCGGAAAAACAAAGGGAGGAAGAGGAAGAGGAGGAGGAGGAGGATGCGGAGGAGCCAGAGGGGTATGAGCATGAATACAAGTTTCGACTGGTGTCGCCCATGCCCAGAATAGTGTATGATTTGGAAAGGGGAGGTTCGATAGGCACAAGGGTGGGAAAGGGCGCAAACCTGCTCGTGGAACCTATTGATGAGGATGAGGAGGACGAAAATGAGGACGAGGATTGATAGAAGCCGATTGCGTGGTTTGCTTGAGATAGATCTGGCCGGCACTAGAAATATGTTGGAGAAAAGGCGCACACCCTTTGCAGCCACGGTAGAAGGGTGAAACGAATGGATGTATTGTAGCATGTTGAGGACATCAATAGCACTCGCAGGTCATGTTATACCCACGCGAGTATTTCCTGATCCGCGTGTGCTAATGGTATCTCATTGATGTCAGTCCATCGTGGACAAAGTGTGGGCCTCCTCAACATATCATGTCTAGTTGGGGGAAGAGGGAGACTCGTGGATGTCCATGATAATGCAGGTAACTCCAGCACCTCCTCCTCATTCCCTTACGGTAGCAAGCGAAAGCCTTGCTTCTCATCTCATCTCATCCGCACCAACAGCAAGAAATTCAGAGCCTTTGCAAACCTACATCACCCCTTTCCCCTCTCTTCTCTCTGTTCTCATCTCGAAAGCAACCTTGCAACAGCAGCCACAGCCAGCACAACCAGCGCCACATCGCCTTTGTACTGTTTCCCGGCGTGGACCTGCATTGCCAGCCCGGCCGTGAAGAACAACAGGCTGAGCGACGCGGCGAGGAGTTTCACGGCGCGCACCCCGAACAGGAGACTGAACCCGACGAGAGTGTCGATGACGGGCGTCACCGTCGCGGCCGTAGAGCCGTCGTCTGGCAAATGGTATTCCTGGAAGGCATACCATATAGGCGTGTACGCGCCATGGGTGAGACGGGAAAAGGCGCCGAGGAGGACGACGGACGCGAGCAAGTAGACCGGGACGGTTTTGAGGGCTGTAGACATTGATCAGCGCGCTTTTTTGTGGGGGAGTATTCAGCAACAGTTGGGACGCGAAGAGGTCGGGATGCGATAGTGGTGGGTGGGTGAGTCTGAAGCTTTGTCCAGTTCGAACTCGCGTGCTTCACAGGATGTTTAGTGACTGCGCAGACTGCGTTCAACTGGTGCGTCTTTGTGAGCAGTTGCTCCGCAGTAGCAGAGTCTCCTATTATTCTGGACATATTTCTGCGGCCATTCAGCCGCCCGCATGTCAACCAAGCTGCCAAGTCAGTTCACATTAGTTTTCTCACTTGAAGGTCGGTCAATGGTAAAGTAAAGGGGACAAGGAAGATCAACCGCGGATTCCCATGTCCGTGATTGCAGGGGTCCGAGTTCCCATGTGCTGCGAGCCCACCTTGCTGATCTTTTACTGCATCATAATCTGTTGATTTCCGACTCTTCGGCGGATATATAGATCGAGTGCTGAAGGATATCCCTCCCAGCCTCACCCCACCGCCAAATCCAAACATTAGGCTCTGGGGATGAAGGTTTTGAGCTACAGCGCCCCTGAGTGAGGACGTCTGTCAAGTGAGACTTATTATGAAATAAGCGCCGTCTATACCAACTTACAAACCTCAGGAAGGACTACTCCCATACTTGTAATTGCTCGTAGGCCTAGAAACATATGCAGCATCCTAGAACCTGCAGTACCAGGTCCACAAATATTATACCAACATCAAAAGGCGGGTATTCAATAGACCTTCTCCTGCTCTATGAAGGGCTCTAGGAGTCTTTTCAACCCGACAGATTGATAGTTTGCAGACGGCGGAGCCGCATATCAGTTCAGCATGCTTCTGCCAGTCTGCCCTTCCTGGAACGGCCCGCGAGTCATCTTCACTGATCGTCAGGGCGTAGGGTGATATATGACAAAGTGGCTCGGAAAGAACCGTCGGTGTAGATGTATGGTCACGGAAGACATTTCTGTCATGACTTTTGGCATCGGGAAGAAGGATCGGTACCTGCTTCTCCTCATGCCAGCGCAAGAGAAGAGTTGGACCGAGCGAACCGGGACTTTGCCCTTGTCGAGGGCGAAAATCGGTGAGAAGCCGTGGCAGATGACCGTGGGAGCGAACATGCACCATAATGTAATGGTCGCTGGGCAGCCTTGCGAAAGGCTTAACGAGGCCTGTCAGCACTCAGTGACATCGTCGGCCCCTTGCGCCAGCGCAGACACTACACGACCACAGGAGTTTCCCGGGGCGAGAACCCACTGGCATGACAGTCACTCTGGGGGATTTTCTGACCTCAACCCTTCACGCCACCTGTACCTTAGGTTAAGCCGTCGCAAAGTGTAGTCTTTTGACACCTGGAACAAGCACTGGAGAGCTGCAGCGTAGATCAAGGCAACGTACCGCCCTACTATCGGGACCAAGACAGACGTGATAGTGGACAAGGGGCCGGCAATGATCCGGCCAGTCCCCAGTTTTCTGGTTATAAGGACTGGGGACTCGGTACATACCAAGTACTCTGTATGTACGTACTTAGGCACTCCGTACTCGGTACGTCGTGGATATTGCGTATCTTGGACCCCACCACGGGCTCGATAGGAGAAATGGTTTCAAGAGTCCTCCCGCGGCACAAAGGAGGGGTCAAAGTGATTGTTCACGTCTTCTCTTCTCCTAAGATAGCCCAAGCATGAGGAATCTCGCTCCAGTTACGGACCATCATCATTTGTTGGGCCTCAGCAACCTTAGGATGGCGTTCAAACCCCATCCATGTAATCGCCTCGGCGGTGCGAGGGGTTCACAGCCCCTTTCTTGTGAAGTCTGGGGAAGCAGCTGAAAACCTCGCAACGCCACACAG